TGCAAAATTATAATGGTTTTAACTTCTCAACCCTTCACTACAATCTTTAAAAAATTATTTGTGAATAACCTAAACACGTATTACAATTATCTCTAGATGATCTTTAGAAAATTTGCATAACAGAATATTAAGTGGGATTTTCCTACTGTCCTGTTGTTACTGCACAAAGGGCACAATCTGCTGGCCACGAGACAAAAGCCAATCATCAAGTGGCAAGATGGTGGCAGAGAGAAAGGGCAGTTTATTACAGCTTGCTAGCAAGGGGGAAGATGACTGACTAACATCCAAAAGAACCATCTTACAGAACAAAAACTACAGGCCAGTTATATAGAGGGCTGGTCTCAGGGTGGGGCATCCATCTGATCTCCGGATGGAGGCATCTGGTCTCGGGGTGGGGGGCATCCATCTGGTCTTAGTTCCTGACAGTCTTTTCTTTTACTTGATATGCATCAGAGACTGGAGCAACGCCCTACACCCCAATCTTTCAGTTGTCATTGATGATGGCTACCAGCATAGATTCTCTGCTCAGGGGTCACCACGTTCCTAAGGAACTCAAAAGAACAAAGTTATTAACTTATAGCAGCTGGAAGGGGCCATGAAATCCACAGAGTTAGTCAGATGTCATTCAAAGTTACAATATGGTTTCTTTTCTACAATATGGCTTCCCTTATGTCAAGCTTGTGTTGAGCCAATATCACTGTTGTGCTGGAAGCTGAAAGCTAGAGGTCAAGAAAAGCTAAGTACTGGTACATTCTAAAGAGAACCACCCACAACTGGTCCAGTCACCCCTAACTCTGAAGCAGAAGGATGAGCCACTACTGCCAGCCCAGATGGGGAGAGGACTGGGAACAGAAAGCAGAGTTGTTTCTTAGCCTCCTGGGGAGTGCAGTGTTCTTGGACAGATTTTCTTTCCATTCCCCTGGGCGGAGGGGTACTCGTTCTCCTGTGAGTGGGACTCTCTCTCCCAGGCACTGTTACTCTTAACTCTCTGGTAAACTGGCCGGTATAGAGCTTCAAGGCCGTCCATGAAATCCAGGCAGCTATAGCTGCTGTTCCCAGAATCCCCCAAATTAGGCCTCTTTTTGTTTGTTTGTTTTGAGCAGGAAAGTTGATATTATTACCCTTCTCTGCTCAGGTTCCTAGCTTTAGTTCTACCAGCCTTGCTTTTAATGTGCAAAACTCAGCTTTCAAAATTCCAAATGAAACCTTTTCTCTCTTAACAAAGCCTGTCACTTGGAAATCAAAAGCACTTCTGCTTTCAGCGTGTTGTTTGCAGGGTGAGTTTCTACAAGCCTAATTAGGAGCTCAAAAGCCAGAATGCGTGCACCTGTGTGTGCATACAGGTAGAGAACAGAAGGGAATATTGCTACCAAAGCAAGGGGTACAAGGAAATATGTAAAACAGTGTCCTATTTAATATCACAAAATGCGACCCTGGGCTGGTGCAGTTCATTCACAGAGCTCTAGAGGATCAGAACCAAGACCCAAATCCAGTTGTTCTGACTTCAACCCACGAATCTTTTTTTCTTTTTCTATGTCACTACGTTACTTCGCTCACAAATGATCTCCAATTACTTTAAACTTGTCAAGACCAATTATACAGGGGCCGGCCCCTTGGCGTAGCGGTTAAGAGCGTGTGTTCCGCCACTGGCGGCCAGGGTTCGCATCCTGAGCGCGCACCAACGCACCGCTTGTCCGGCAATGCTGAGGCGGCTTTGGGGAGAAAAAGGGGAAAAAAAACAGGAGTGGCAATAGGTGTTAGCTTAGGGCCGGTCTTCCTCAGCAAAAAGAGGAGGATTAGCACGGATGTTAGCTCAGGGCTCATCTTCCTCACACACACACAAAGAAGACCAATTATATAATAAGAAGCTTTATTACTCATGCTTATGACTACAGCTATTACATCTACTTAACATTTAAATGTTCTTGTCAAGAAAATTAAAAAAACATGTTAACTATCACGTTAACAAAAACCAATACTAAAATTGAAAGCTGTAGAAATAATCTACTCAGTACAATTGAAAAGTCTGAAGACTTTCAGAACAAATACAATAAATAGGTTAAAACCCTCTTCTGCCTTTTATTAGTGGTGTGATGTGGGAAAATTACCCCCTCTCTGCAAAAATGAAACTAATAATACTTAACAGAAATAGTTAATATTTAAAAATGAAACTAATAATACTTAACAGAAATAATTAATATTTATAGAGTACTTTAGACCAAGACAGGGCTAATAGTAACTAATCTTTTAACTGATACAAAATAAAATATTCTGAAAAAGAACACAAAATTTGTAAAAGACACATTACAATAAGACTTTTATTAAGTGTGTATTTAAAAATTGTTTTATTTTCAATATTCACAATAAAAAGAAAATTATTTTTCCATACTAGTTGAAACAATAAATTGTAATACTCTTGAACTGCTACAATTGTAATCTAGTTCTACTTTTAAACATTATTTGAAGCGGATGATGAGACAATACTGTTTCAATTATCCATGTGAAAATTCAAGCGTTGTACTAATAGATACACACAAAAAAACAGATTCCCACATAATATAATTCACTTAAGAAGAAATTCTAAATGTAGTGTCATAAAAACACATTATGCTTTGCCTCAAAGCATCTAAGTGGTTTCTGATGTTTGGGCATTATGTAAATGATTTTTCTAAATATCTTTTGTGGGTTTTCATATTTATTTTAATGCCAAATTGGATTTCATGATGCCCAGTAGGCAACTAAAATTTTTAAGCTTATAAACTATACCCATTTTGTATTTTATTTCATTCTTCCATTATATAAATTTGACATATACAAACACTTCCTCAAATATAGTGATTTCTATATTTTTGCACATTCCTTTTATTTCCAATAACTGTAAAATTTATTTGAAAACAATAAAAAAATACTCAACATGCTAAGTTGTATGCCTCCCCAAATTTAATAAATCCCAAACCATATTGATTAAAACGCCTCTATCATTAGAGAGAGTTACATTCAAATAAAGTCCAATCTAAATAAAGATAAGTCTTTCTTACATCTTACAAAATATTAGTTAAAAATGTGTTGAATATCTTCTGGTTAACCCTCCAGATTCACTCTCCATCCTTCTTTATCTTGCTCTGCTCCCTAGAAGACTGACCCATGAGAATTATATCCAATTGCTCCATTGCCTTCAGATTTTCTATTGCAGTTGGACAACGGGAAGCACCAGCAGGAGATGGGGACTTGGCAGGAGAGTAATGTCAGCACATGTATTCTCCCTGCTCTTTTCCTGCCTAGTCCCCATTTGGCTGTGCCCCTTTACTGAAGGTCACAATTTCTACTAGGCATTCTTCTCCATATAGTTATCCTCTCTAGGTTCTAGTAAACATTCCCTCTCCTTACTCTTGCCCCTTTAGGTCTAGGGGCAGTAATGGCTTGCCAAAGTATCATCCTATGACGGTAACTGTATTTCTTAAACCCTGCCCGCATCTTTATAAATAGTACCTTTATTAAACTCTTGACAAATTATCTGGTTTGAATGAGCTGTTTGTTTCTTTCCAGGACTCTAATACATAAAGTTTCTCATGGAACTTTCTAAAATATTTATGTAGGTTAATATTTTTGGTACTCAGGGAATCTTTAATGTTGTATACATAATCTCAAAGGTCAACCCATTGCTAGTTTGTCATAGTAGCATGTGGTCTCAACTGCCATGAACTATGCATTTCTCTTTAATGTATTATCAGCCCCTATGGTATTATCTAGAGTCTGTGTCATTCAATAATAACTAGAATGTTCTTCTACAGTTTACCTTCCCTCCTGAGCTTCTTACTCTTATTCATTTCTGAAATTCCTTCAGCCATTGGTTTCACTCCCATGACGTTAAATTTTCTTAACAGCTGAGATTAAATATTGACTTCAAATATTTTTGTCATCCTTAAAAAGGGTGGCAATCCCTGCGTAAATGAAATTTTAGGAATGCAGATTAAATAGTTCTCTAGAGGCACCTACATCACTTTAATTTCCTGCAAACTATCAAAGATTATGAAAATATAGATTGCAGGGCTATGAAGGTGTCTAGACAAAAGCATTGGCTGTAAGATCTAGATTTTCCATAATTATATTATGTCATTGATTATTCTCAGAAGTCAGGAGTATTTGAAACCCCAATAATGCATAATTTAAGATGCTCAAAAATGCTAAAGGATCATAAGCAGGGCCCAAAATTTGATATAAATCACAGCTGTAAGACCCCATAACCTGTACCTTCTCCCACTACAATAAAGACTCACATCACTCTAAAATTTGTCATTTATATACCCTCTTGCATTTAGCAGCTCAGATACCCAATAATATTAAGCTTGATAAAAAGGGAACCCAAGTCCCTTAATTCACCTCCCTACCTCCAATTTCATACAGCTTCAATGTCTTCTCTAAATGGTCATCAGAGTGCATTTTCTAAAACAAAATTATCCTGCTATAAAACTTTCAATAGCTCCCATTACAAAGATTTACAAGATGAAGTTCAAGACTCTCATCGAATACTCACCGACACACTAAGTATTTGTCTTTCTTTCTTTTTTTCTTTTTTTTGCTGAGGAAGACTGTCCCTGTGCTAACATCCGTGCCTGTCTTCCTCCACTTTATATGGGATGCCGCCACAGCATGGCTTGCCAAGCGGTGCGTCAGTGCGTGACCGGGATCCGAATCAGCAAACCCGGGCTGCCGCATCGGAGCGCGCCCGCTTAACCGCTTGCGCCACCGGGCCGGCCCCCTGTATTTGTCTTTCTATTTCAAGCTTCTCAGCTTTTGATCATGCCATTTTCTGCTATGAATGCCTTTCTCCATCTTGCCTGCCTTCTGCACACCCAATCACCTTTCAAAACTCAGCTCACAATGTGACAACATGCCTGATTTCTAAATTGTTAGCATATCATGCCTCCAACCCTAACGGATATATTTCTGTTTTAGTGCCTAACCTGTATATATTTATTACATGGGTTTCCCTCCGTTGGACTGTGAGTTCCTTAAGGGCAAAGACTGTACTTATTCATTGCCATTTCTCCTGCACCCGCTTAGTGACTGGCATTAGAGGTACTCAGTACTGCATGCTGCATGAATGATGATGGAACTCCTGGAGCGGGTCTGATCCCCATCATTCCTGCTCCAGTGCACTTAGTCCAGCAGACGGTGTCATGAGATTTGAACTAATCTCAGTTAAAAGTTAATGGTAGATGAGGTGAAAGAAACACTCTTTTTTACAAAAGAATCCCAATTAATAATTGTAAAAGTTATGAGGGAAAAAGAAAAATCAACATTAGAACACCACAGTAATAATTGCCGCAGTCAAGAGCTATCAATGCATATTAAAATTATTGGGCATAAGTTTCAGGAGAAACAAGATGTTTGCATAGTCTCAAAATATCTTCTCCCAAATATTAATTAATTACAAAGAGACAAAGAGTAACTTTATAGTAGAGAAACCTGGCAGACACCACCTTAACCTAGTTAACATCAGCAGTGTGAACTCATGTCAATATGGGGTATGTACCTCCAATAAGATATGATAAGGACATTTTACCACTGTGGTGTCTTTCCCAATAACACATGACCCCAGTGTAACCATGAGAAAACAGCAGACAAACTGGACTTGAGGGACATTCTGCAAAATACTTATGTTACTCTTCAAAATAGTCAAGGTCATGAAAGATAGGGAAAGACCAAGGAACTGTCACAGGTTAGAGGGCACTAAGTGCGCTAATGCTATGTGGGATTCTGGAATAGAAAAGGTACATTGGTAGAAAAACTGGCAATATCTGAATAAATGCCACAGATTAGTTAAAAGATAAAAATAAATATGTAACTGGGAGTTAATATCTTTTGACCACCAATTTAAATTTCCATTATCAAATAAATAAGTACTAGGGATGTAATGTACAGTATTATTGACTACAGCTAATAATACTGTGTTGTATATGTGAAAGTTGCTAAGAGAGTAGATTTTAAAAGTTCTCATTGCAAGAAAAAAAATTGTAAATATATGTGGTGATTGATGTTAACGAGACATTGTGGTGATATTTCATAACATATACATATATCGAATCATTATGTTGTACACTTGAAATTAATATAATATTATATGTCAATTATATCTAAATAAAAATTTTTCTAAATACATAAATAAAATTCTTTTTTCTTAACAAAAAACTAATGCCAGAAATATCTTTTACTTCCCCAAATAAGAAAATCCACAGCTATAGTTTGATTTTTAGCCAAAGCTATTGTTTTCCTTATATTTTGACCCCTGTTGATTCAGTTTTAAGACAAACCCACCATTAGAGTATCAAAAGTTTGAATAGTTTTACCTGTTTCCTTGTACAACTATCATTTATTTTATATTTATTTGCCAGACTATTCTAAATGCTTTACATTTACTAACTCTAGTAATCCTGAAAACAACTCTGTTTTAGAAATGAGGAAACTGATATTAAAGAAGGGTAAACTATGTATCCAAGATTCCACAGCTGATAAGTGACAGAACACAGATTTGAACTCATGACTTTATGACTCCAAAGCCCATCCTTTAAAACCCTGTGCTTGCTTCTTCCTTCAAATGTCAGCAGCCCAAAGTTCACACATCAGAAATATCTGAAACCAAATTTAGTACATAAAATTTAAGCTGTGAGAGCTTTCTTGAAACTTTAAGAACTGTCTTATGAGATAAATCCATGCAATCATTCATGTACACTTCATTAATTCTCCCCTAAACTCATGGCACAGTATGAAAAATTTGCAATAAGAACAATTTAATTTTATTAATTAGGCACTTTATTATATTCTTCACTTGTACAAGGTATAGATTTTCAAACAATACTTCATTTACAGAGAGAGGTGTTCATTTAAGCATCTTTAGCAATTTATTTTTATGGGGTAAATGGATGATCCTTACCTGCACTATCAGTATATATGAAAGATTTATGTAATTTTGAAATTGCTTCTGGAGGGTTTCATTTTTGAAATTGAACAAGGGGCTTGCACAGTCACAATCTTTGAAAACCAGCCAATTTCCATTGAATTGTTAGTACTTTATCTGTATGTATTCTCAGATTGCTGGGCTGGAGAGACTGTTGACACAGAACCAGCATGACAAGTCTCTGTTCTAGCAATTCTTGCCACAGATTGCCCTTTGCAGAAGAGCCACTGTTAGAATGGTTTTACCCCTGTAATGAGAAAGAGACTCAGCAAGAGAACATCTTTTGTTGTTAGATTGTGATAGCAGCCAGTGTCCCCTTTGCATTTTAAAGCATGATGGCATTTTCCCAAATCACATTATGTCAGGCTCAAGCTTCTAGGTGCCTTGCTTTGCTTTGCTTTGCTGTCGAGCCCTGTCATCAGGCCTGCATAAATTCTGATATAAAATTTTGAAGGGAATTTAAGAAATTAGCATTCTAGTGAAAGACCACAAATCATAATTTTCAAAGAAAAAGTTTTCTTTTGCCCAGAATCATTTTTCAGATGATCTAGAATGTATTATTTGTTTCCTACCTTTTTGAGGAAAAAATAATGTAATTCTATTTGCAATAAAATTTGTTTGTTCTATTTTTTGCATTTTAAGTTGGTCGTCATGGACAAAAATATCTTCTGAACTCAGCAGTTTTTCATGGAAATAAAACTGTTTTGAGCAAATTTTCCAGGCCTGCAAACACTGGAGCAGGAGAGCACATCTCAGGAGACTGCTCCTGGTCATAAGCCAGGCCTTTTCATCAAGCAAGTTTCTCTTTTAGTCATGACTGGCTTCCACATAAGACACTCCCTGCTGTCTACAGTGCACGTGAACTGGAACTAGAAGTAGGAACTTGACCTGGATTAAGATATCTGTTTTCCCTCATTTCTACTGTAACGTAGGGCTGTTGCATTCCAAGTGTTATTTGTGTTCTTGTAGAATAATGACCCTTTCACTCTAAGCAGGAAACAGGGGAATGGAACAAGTGGCGATGTAATGGGTCGGAGGGTAAAGATTTAATATGAATGGGTGAAGAAGTCAAGTCTTTTCAAGTTGGAGTGGCATCTTCTGTTTCAGGATCAGAAGAAAAAATTACAAAGTGATTCAAGTAGATTTATGTATAAGTTTAACACAATTCTAACAGAAGAATTTTGGAGTCAAAGGTAGGAAAGTGAAAGACGTGATAAGGAAATTTAACAGAATGATTCCAAAGTTCACTTGGAAAAATGAAATTGAGAGGGACATCAGCCTCATGGCAGAGTGAGCTTCCCCCATTGAACTCTTGTCCTCTGAGACACAACAAAAAGGACATTCATATTCCAACAGAAGCTATTCACACAACACAGGGGACGTCTGAGGCACCCAGGCAGCCGTACACCCAAGGACTGAGGTGCTGGAATCTCCAGAGTAAGTGGAAGGAGGTAAGAGGAGCCCCTGTCCTTCCCCAAGGACTGTGACCCAGAGACTGAGACCATGCAGATCTCAGAGGAGGGCGAGGGGTGGCTTGCCATGTGAAAAATGGTGCTCTCCAAGACCCCTCACAACCCGATCCCCCTACGGAGGGAGTGGAACTGTTGCGAGGGTAGTTTCAACAAGCTAGCCCCTCAGGAGAGCAGAGAGCGACAATGAGGTGAGAAACCTCTGAGATTGGAGAGGCGAAAGTAAGTGCCCCTCCGCCACCCGGCCCACCCGACTGGTGCTTCAGCTCAGCCCCATCCCCAGAGGCAGCAGCCCCTAGGCACCTGGCTGACCAGCAGTGGGCTGAGCCTGCACCCCCGCACCAGAGGCAGTGGCAGCTTAGTCCCCACCATGCCACAGCCACAGCTGCTCCAGCTGGACCAAGCCACGGCCCCAGCTTCCCCGGCTCCACTCTTTCGGCTGGAACATGCCCCACCCCCAGCTCCTTCGGCTTGACCGCCCCCCTCCCCCCGGCTCCAGCTGCTTCAGCTTGGCCTGCGTGCAGGCTCCAGCTGACTTGGCGCCAGCAACTTGGGCCCATTGCACTCCAGTTCCAGCTTCTTCAGCCCAGCGGTGCTCCAGCTCCTCCTTCTTCGGCCCAGTGCACTCCAGTTCCAGCTTCTTTGGCCCAACAGCGCTCCTGCTCCTCCTTCTTCAGCCCAGCACACCCCAGTTCCAGCTTCTTTGGCCCAGCGGTGCTCCAGTTCCTCCTTCTTCGGCCCAGGACACTCCAGTTCCAGCTTCTTTGGCCCAGTGCACTCCAGTTCCAGCTTCTTTGGCCCAGTGCACTCCAGTTCCAGCTTCTTTGGCCCAGCGGTGCTCCAGTTCCTCTTTCTTCAGCCCAGGACACTCTAGTTCCAGCTTCTTTGGCCCAGCACACTCCAGTTCCAGCTTCTTTGGTGCAGCGGCACTCCTGCTCCTCCTTCTTCAGCCCAGTGCACTCCAGTTCCAGCTTCTTTGGCCCAGTGGCACTTCAGCTGCAGCTGCTTCAACCCACCCACACCCGAGCCCCATCTGCTTCGGCCTAGCTGCGCTCCAGCTCCAGCTGTTTCCACGCTTCCCTCCCAAGAGCCTCCACTCAGCCACACTGCAGATCAGCCAGGGGCTGACAAGAGTGCCCACGGATTGAGGCGGGCCAGAATACACAGCTCTTGACCCCCACTCAGCGGCAGCAAGAGGAAACTGCGACCATATATTTTCACTATGAGGAAAGGTAAACCAACACCAGCAGGCACCATGAAAAAATATATTAAATCTCCAGACCAAAAGGAAAATGACAAGCACCCAGAACTCAACCCGGAAAGCACAGAAACGTATAACCTTAACTACAGAGAATTCAAAATAGCCATCATAAAAATGCTTAATGAAATACAAGAAAACACAGACAGACAATTCAGTGAAATCAGGAGTTTCTTCACAAAAGAGATTGAAACTATAAAAAAAAAAACAATCAGAAATCTTAGAGATGAAAAACAGAATAGAGGAGATAAAGACAAATCTGGAAGCCTTAAGCACCAAAGCTGACAATATGGAGGAAAGAATTAGCAATATTGAGGACAGCAATGCAGAAATGCTCCAGATGGAGGAGGAAAGAGAACAAAGATTTAAAAGAAATGAAGAAACCCTCTGAGAAATATCCGACTCAATTAAGAAATCCAACATAAGGATTATAGGTATTCCAGAGGGAGAAGAGAGGGAAAAAGGAGCAGAGAACTTGTTCAAAGAAATAATATCTGAGAACTTCCCAAACCTGGGGAAGAAGCTGGAAATACTAGTGAATGAAATCAATAGATCTCTTAAATATATCAACATGAAAAGACCCTCTCCAAAGCAGATAGTAGTAAAGCTGGCAAAAGTCAATGACAAAGAAAAAATATTAAGGGCAGCTAGACAAAAAAAAAAAAATAACGTACAAAGGATTTCCTATCAGGTTCTCAGCTGATTTCTCGACAGAAACTTTAGAGGCTAGGAGAGAGTGGAGTGACATATTCAAAATTCTAAAGGACAAAAACTTTCAGCCAAGAATACTCTATCCAGCAAAAATATCCTTCAAATATGATGGAGAAATAATAACTATCGCAGATAAACAAAAGCTAAGGGAGTTCATTGCCGTAAGACCCCCACTACAAGAAGTGCTCAAGAAGGCCCTCATTCCTGAGGAAAAAAAGAGAAAGCAGATTCAAAGTTTTGAACGAGGAGGAAAATAGGTCATCAAAACCAGAAAACTTGCAGTCCTCTATCAAAATAGATTAGCAAACATTTAATTATAAAAAAAAGATCAAGGGAAGCATCAAGCATAAATATAACCTCATCATGTTAAACATGAACTAACAACACAAGAAGGAATAAGATGTGACAACAATGACATAGAAGGGGAAGAGAAAAGGGGTTGAATCGACTTAGTCTAAGGGAATAAGAGGCCATCAAAAAATGGACTATCACATCCATGAGATTTTTTTATACAAACCTCATGGTAACCACTAACCAAATAATCAGAACAGAATCACACACGATAAAGAAAGAGAAAACTAAGAGAACCCCCATACAGAACTACCAAACTGCATTGGTAGTCCGAAACACATGGGACAAGAAACAAAAGAAATGCAAAAGAATCAGAAAAAGAGTGATAAAATAACAACAAGCCCCCATATATCAATAATTACCCTAAATGTAAATGGACTGAACTCTCCAATCAAAAGACATAGAGTGGTGGGATGGATTAAAAAACAAGACCCAACAATATGCTGCCTCCAGGAAACACATCTCAGCTCTAAAGATAAACACAGGCTCAGAGTGAAAGGATGGAAGACAATACTCCAAGCTAATGGCAAACAAAAGAAAGCAGGTGTTGCCATACTTTTATCAGACAAAGGTGACTCCAAGATAAAACAGGTAATGAGAGACAAAGAGGGGCAATATATAATGATAAAAGGGACACTCCACCAAGAAGACATATCACTTTTAAATGTATATGCACCGAATACAGGAGCACCAAGGTACATAAAGCAACTATTAACAAACCTAAAAGGAGATATTAACAACAACATAATAATAGTAGGGGATCTTAACACCCTTAACACTTTTATCAAGAGCTTAACACTCTTATTAATGGACAGATCATCCAGACAGAAAATAAATAAGGAAACAATGGACCTAAATGAAAAACTAGATGAGATGCACTTAATAGACATATATAGAGCACTCCATCCAAACACAGCAGATTACACATTCTTCTCAAGCATGCATGGAACATTCTCAAGAATAGACCACATTTTGGGAAACAAGTCATACTTATATAAATTTAAGAAGATTGAAATCATAACAAGCATCTTTTCAGACCATAATGCCATGAAGTTAGAAATCAACTACAAGGAAAAAACTGGGAAAGTGATAAAGCTGTGGAGACTCAACAATATGCTACTAAACCACCAATAGATCATTGATGGAAAAATGAAGTTGAAAGAATAGTGATGAAACTTTTGAAGAGGAAATAATGAAGGGGAATTTGCTCAATAGACAGTTTTTTATTTTATTTTGTTTATTTATTTTTTGTGTGAGGAAGCTTGGCCTTGAGCTAACATCTATGCCAATCTTCCTCTACTTTGTATGTGGGACACCGCCACAGCATGGCTTGATGAGCAGTATGTATGTCCATCCTGGGATCTGAACCTGCAAACCCCGGGTTGCCGAAGTTTAGAGTGCAAACTTAACCACTATGCCACCGAGCTGGCCCTCCAATAGATATTTTAAACAATTATAGGTGGAGGCAATTAATACTATTCTATTGCAGGAATACACTGAAAGATAAATGGGAAAGGGCTGCTGCTAGCCCATATAATGTCTTTGTGCAAATTAGAGAAACTCCCCCACCTCCTTCCAAGGCAGCTCTGCAGGGGCTTGGCTAGGAGCTGAGGATGCCTCTGAAGTTGGAAAAGATGCCCCTTTCTCCAGGCTCATGGGCTCCGCTGGCTTGGCTAGCATAGGAGTCTTGCTGAATTTCAGTATGCATTGTGCCTTTTTGGGGGAGTTTTATTACATTGTGCATACTGTTTGACCACACCAGGAAGTTCTTCACAAAAAGACCCTATTTTATATCTAAATTAATATATAGTAAGAATTACTTCTAAAATCACTGGGGAAAGAATGGATCATTCAGTAAATGATGTTGAACACCTAGGTAATTATTCTGGGGGAAAAAAAAAGAAAAAAAGCCTTAGATTTCACACCAAATTAAATTGGAAAGCAAAAAGTAAAACTACAAAATACTAGAAGAAATATAGGTGATTAGTTTGAGTGGAGTGTCTTTATAAGCATTACAAAAAACTGAGAAATCATAAAAGACTACTGTCGGGGAGGGGAAAATTTCCCTCCTTGGTTCTTTTGGCTAGTCGAATAATTAAAATGACATATGACAGTTTAACAGGAGAAAATCAAATTTAATACATGCACACAGGGAATTCACATAAGCATGAAAAATTCCAAAGATAGTTAGGCAAAATGAGATATGTATATCATTCTGGACTAAAGAGAAGGGAGCAGGGGTCTGGGACTTCAAAGGGAACGAAGGCAATTTATAGGAAGTAAAAACAGTTAATGTTTGGTAAATAAATTGTCCCAGAAACAATGGGATACAGAGAGAACTTGGATCAAACAGGCCTTACTAGGTTATTCTCTGTCACTAGTTCATGTTGTCCTGTAGTTTTCCATTGGTAATAGCTCCTTCTTTAAACATATCCTCTATCTAAGTTCTTTTTAGGCAGTTAAGGGCAGGGTCAAAGTTTCTTCCTGAGTCTTTTGGGCCTTGATTATTTTTAGCTCAAAATAATTTGTATTCCAGAGTGGCACATCTTGGGGTGACTCATTCTGAATCCCTACACTACATTTAAAGAAATTCTATACAATCCCCCAAAAAAACCAGCAAAAAAATTTAATTATTTTAAATTAAGTTTAAAGAAACAAATACTCTAGGTTTCTTTTTCTGCTAGAGAATAACACATTTATAAAAGGACCCTTAAAAATCAATAAGGAGGGGGCTGGCCCTGTGGCATAGCAGGCAAGTGTGCATGCTCTGCTGCTGGTGGCCCGAGTTCGGTTCCTGGGCGCACACCAATGCACCACTTGTCAGGCCATGCTGTGGCGGCATCCCATATAAAGTGGAGGAGGATGGGCAGGGATGTTAGCCCAGGGCCAGTCTTCCTCAGCAAAAAGAGGAGGATTGGCATGGATGTTAGCTCAGGGCTGATCTTCCTCACACATACACACAAAAAATCAAAAATCAATAAGGAAAAGAAAAATATACAAATCCATGGGGAAAAGAGAAAAATGGACAAAATATACGTAGCCAGTTCATAAAACAAAATATAAATGTTTACTAACTGTATGAAAACATGTTCAGCTTTATTAACAGTAAAAGTAATAAAAATTAAAACAGTAATTGAGCTACTAATTTTTCACTTAGATTATTTGAAAACTTAAAAGTATTTGGAGAAAAAAGTAACAATCAAGATGGAATAGTTTATACAATATTATTTAGATACACTTAAAATGCATATAAAAATAAATATTTTGCAAGAATACACATAAAAACAAACAAAAAATACACATTAAACACATTAGAATGAGTACTTGTGTTGGGGGAGAGAAGGGAGGAAATAGGGATAAAAGTGCGTCATGAAATAAAATCGTGAGGGGCTTGTGGAAACTTGCAGGATGATGACGTGCCAAACACTGGGAAGCATGCTTCACATGGCCATGTGCACCTGAGTTCCCTTCCTAACTGCATAGGTAACATAGGTAATAAATAAAATACAAGTGCCGCATGTTGAAGAAGTGGCACTCACTTATATATTGCTCATGCGAGTATACATTTTTATAAACTTTCCAGAATTAGCTTGGAATGTGAATTTCAACTGTTAGGAGGGGCCAAGTGAGGTAAATATCTGCACTGGTATTGGGATCGGGGAATTGCAGGGGCCCAGAGACGGGTGAGGAGGCCCCAGTACGGTGAGAAGGGTCTCCCAGTGGAGGAGGAGCCTTGTGTGGTGAGTTAGAGCCCAAGCAAGAAGCAGACGAGATCACACAGAAGGCAGCCTGGCACAGCGTGCTGGAGCCCTACGCAGGTGAGCAGGGCACAAGAGAGCTGTCTGTGTTGAGTTCTGGCCCCTGAGCAGCATTATGAAGATGTTCCTGCAGAGGGGTGGCCTGGCCACACAGGAGATAGGGCTGTGACAGCCATGGGAGACTGGTTATAGAAAAGACACTGATTAAATAAGAAAATATCTTAAGGATAATGGAGTGAAAGTCATATTTTCATGAGAAGGGAGAAGGGAGTTACAAATATGAAAAGTGGTACTTAACTGGAATTGGAGGTAAGGATATGAACTCATGGCTTTCAAGATAAAAGCCGATAGATATAAATAAATAAACAAATAAAGTGCATGTATTCCTTGCTTTGGCTATTGAGAAGGCCTAGTGAAGCAAAAGCCTAATAGCAATGACATTGCACCTAGAACTTAGCTTCTAAACACCATCTTTCAGTAAAAACAAACACACACACAAAAAACTGGCTTCTTTGGAGAAATGGCTGATTCCAGGGCTGGGGCCCAAATAGAAAATACAAGATGAGACCTGAAGACCTCTTTTGTGCCCAGAAGTGAGACCATGCTCTTGAACAATGGAGACATGGCAAAAGGACACAGAAGTCAGCTTGAAAGGGCTCCCTTTGGCCAAATCTGAGACAATTTGAGTGTCGAAATAAATCACGATAGTAACAGATTATAAGCATTTGAATAAAATAGCAAACTATGCCTCTATACTAATATAAATAAATGAATAAATTGAAAGTTTGATGAGGAATGAAATATTTACATAGGTTCAAAGTACCTCCCCAGAAACTACCTATCAACCACAAAGGAAAAGAGATTAACACTATAGAGGAGAAGCCTGACAGATACCATCACCTTAATCAAGTAAAGATCATTAGCAACGGGACAAATCAAAATTGGGTGCAACTTGATATACTAATAATAATATGGTATCACACTTCCTTGTTTTACCAAAGATTTATAACTTGACTCTAACACAATAAATTAAAAGATATTTTGCCATATAGCTAGAAAGCAATTCTCAAAAATATCAACATCATGAAAGTCAAAGAGACATGATAACTGCATGTAACATGTGATCTCATGTTTCTATAAAGGACCTAATAGGGGTAATAGAAACTTTAAAGAGACCTAAGAGGTATATAGTAGAAATGTATCAATGTTAATTTCCTGATTTTTGATAGTTTGCTTTCTTTATAGAAAAGTCTGTGTTTGTACGAAGTACACAAAAGTATTTGGGGAGGATGGAGTATCACGTTGGCAAGTTACACACAAATCATTCAGGAAAAAAATAATTCTTTATACTCTATCTGCAACTTCTCTATAATTTGAGATTTTTTTCAAAATAATAATAAAAATGTCTATACTCTAACCTTGAAAATGTACTTCTAAGTATTTATTCTAAGAAAATATTTGGCAAGGGATAGGCAACATATGTGTACAGATGGTGTACAAAAAATATGTGCACATATGTATGGTGACAGATAAAAATTAGACTATTGGTGGTGAGCACGATGCAGTCTATACAGAAACTGATTTATAATAATGTACACCTGAAACTACACAGTGTTATAAACGAATATGACCTCAATAAAATAATTGGAAAAAAATTATGAGACTATCAAGGAAATATGAATATTCTTAGACATTTGATGATACTAAGACATTAATGTTAAATTTTTAGGTCAGGAAACCTTTTCTATAGAGGATGAGATAGTAAACATTTTAGGCTCTGTGAGTCTACAGTCTGTTGCAACTACTGAACTATGTCATTATCGCCTGAAAGCAGCCATAAACAACACATAACAAATGGCTGTGGCTGTGTTCCAAAAAAATGTTATTTACAAAAAAAAAAAGAAATATGTGTACAGATGGTCATAGTTTCTTTGTTTATAATACCAAAAAAGTTGTTAATAAACACTAGTAGGGGAAAAGCTCATGACATACTGTTATATTGTCACAAAGTAGCATGTACAGTATACTTCCCTGTGAAAAAAGGGAAAGAAAAATGTAAGTGGCTTTAGATACTGGGTGATGCCTTTTTTTCTACTCCTGATTTCCATGCTAAAATATTTTTCCTGGGTCTTTACTCACTTGCCCTTCGAGAGGTGTTGTGACATATTTGTTAAATGCATTTAGGAATTAACCTGGGCAGAATTACTGTACATGCAGTGTTCATTTCTCTCTCTCTCTTTCTCTTAATCTCTCTCTCCTTCTTTCTGGGAAATGGATTTCAAAAAACAGAATTTAACTCGTTTTTCAAAGAGACTGTTTCCTCCTAGGTGGGGAGGGCAGGAGCCATGGGACTGAGGCTTCTATTTTGATTGTTCATTTTTAGGTCTACCAACTCAAACCAGGTCTCTGTCAATAATAAAGGTAATAGTTTAGCTTCCATTTTTAACTTTTGTTTTATTTTTCAATTTATTCCCAACCCAGGCATAGAGAAGGGATGTTGTTTATTGGAGAGTCTCTCAGAGACCTCAGTAATACTTGGAGGATATAGAGCAAATGCTAGCAATGGGTACTCTTGGTGGTGGGAATACAGGTGATATGTTTTTTTGTATTGCCTCTATTCCTTTTTTTGCAATGAGTATGTTTCATGTTCTTAATCAGGAGGACCACAATAGAATGAGAGACAAAATGATGGAAGGTAGAGAGTAAATGTACACATTAACTTTGGAACCCAGGTCCCCTTAGGAACTCAATGGCTGTTTGGCCATTGTTGCACTTAACAAAAAGAAATATGCTCCCTTTTCAACGCACAGGTCTGAGATTTTGAATTCCATCTGAGTTTTTATTTCCTTTTTGAAAACATTGTCATGGCCAGCCCAGTGGCATAGTGGTTAAGTTTGCACGCTTTACTTCAGTGGCCTGGGGTTTGCTGGTTCAGATCCTGGGCACGACCTACACACCGCTCGTCAAGCGGTGCTGTGGCGGCATCCCACATATGAAATAGAGGAAGATTGGCACAGATGTTAGCACAGGGACAATCTTCCTCAAGCCAAAAGAGGAAGATTGGCAACAGATGTTAACTCGGGGCCAGTCTTTATATTTAAAAAAATATAAATAAATAAAAATAAATAAAAGAAATAAAAAATAAAAAATTGTCAAATACTTTAAATGATGAGTTTGCAGTAATGTAGAGCTAAACAACCAGCAATTAGCATGTTTTTCAGTATTTTTGTAATAGCCAGCAATAAAATTGTTATTCTTAACATAAATAACAGATAGTTGTCTGTCTTAGTCAGGATTCTTTCAGTTCAAGTAAGAGAAACTTCAGACTGGCTTGAGCAAGAAAATTAATTTAAAAAATACTGGAAGGCTGCTGAGTCTCTATCAGAGTCCATAGTCACCTACGATGAATGAGAAGAATTTTCAAAAGGAAATTTGAGTATTTGCTATGGGTAGAATTTGGCATATTCTAATGGTAGTGCCCTACCCAGGGCCTCTGCAGCCCTTTTCCTTGGCATCTCCCTTCTTCAATTCCTGGGACATGCTATAGATCTGATTTTAAATCTTGTTCTATTTGGTTTTAGTGTTTTTAAAAACTTGGTTCTGACATCCTTGAGATTTTTATACCTCTAAGCTATTTCATAAAGCAGTTCATATCAAAAATCAGGTTATAAAAATTACAGAGCAATAGCAAGTTTACAGACTTTAAACATTGGGAAAAATATGAAAAAGAGTAATCTTTAGCACTATATGCCATGATTAAAAAAGATAGTTATGGGGATTCATGCATCCCCATTTACCCATCCATGATGGATGCAATTTATAGTTAGAATTTTTTCTCTTTTAGGCAACTTCCAAGTCTCATGGAAAGGGAGCATAGAATTCTAAAGAGAAGGCTATGAAATGCTTTCAAGAAATTATTTTAGTGGCTGCTTCAGGGAGAGACTGGAGTAGTAGAGAACTGCTATTCAGAAGGAAGATACAGGGTTTTATCTCTGAGAACCTGGGAGTTGTGTAAAAGTCCAAACGACTTTCAACATTGAGTAAGGTGAGAAAGGGTTTAGAAGACCTTCTCTTTAAAGGTATCAGAGGCAAATGAATGAGAAACAAGAACATGTTATGAGACTTTCCATTAATTCATATGATGGAGCTTATGTTTGATCTCTGCAGCCTAATTTATTCTTGCGCCCTGCACTTGATCAAGTGGAGGTGTAGTGTTTTGAAGAATGATCCAGTGTTTCTCAAACTAGCATCCACAGATCCTGGCGATTTGTTGATATATTCTTGGGAGTCTAGAGTTCTCTAACAGAATTTTTAAAATTTGTGTTAGAAAACACCCCACCTCGTATATGTATAATTATGATATAAATGTAGATTTGGTTATCTGGTCAACCTCCTTATTCCTAAGTACTGGACTACCATTTGATTTATTTTCATAATCACACTGATACTGTGATCACCTAAATGGCATCATTTATTTCTTAGAGATTGTTTGCAAATTAATCATTTAAAGGTTATTTACAGAAAAAGCAATTAGCATTGTCCTTAGATTAATGTTTTCAACGTAATTATTTTACTGTGTGTTTGACTAGTGTGATAAAGGGAAAAAGACAGTTAAAAGAGGACTCTAACCTGGTATGAAAAGGCCTAATTTCTGGTTAGCACCTGCTAACCATGAGATTTGGGGAAAGTCAACTAAGATTCATGGATTTCAGTTGCCTTGTATTTAAAATAAGGGAGTTTGGCTAGAGCTAGGTGATCCCTAAAGTTAGTTTCCATTTTGAAAATTGTGATGCTGTAACTTTTTTAATGGGAAAAGCATCAAGGAGAAGAAAATTGATTCAGTTAACAAGGTCTTTGGGGGAAATTTCCAGTACCACCTTCTCCTAATTACAGTCAACTATAGTGGGATGTAAGAACCAAATATTGATTGAGCACCTTCTCTGCGCTTGACACTATTCTAACTCCTGTAAATGTGACCGTGGCTCTGTGAGTTCGATTATATAATTCTTTTTGGCAGTTGTAATTGAGTCGAGTGTCCTAGGGCACAGAATGAGTAAGTACGGAGTCTGGAAAGGAATCTGGCTTGTCTGATTTTAAGCCCTGGATTCCACTGTAACACATTATATTTACTAGGCTTGCAAAATGCTTTTTTTCCTTTATCCATCTATTTTCACATTCAAATTAAAATTTAGTAAACTAAATTCTGAGCAGCGCCTCAAAAAACTTTAGTAAGTGTCCTCCCATCCTGTAAGAGTCGCTTATATGAGGATTCTCCTCCTCCTTGCCCTTCTTCCCACACAGTTTACCAGGGTCAGTAAGAATGTTCTGAGGTAAACATTGAATGGATCAAATGAGTACGATCTGATGGTTGAGGCAGTTTTTCTTTTTTTTAAGGCATAACAAAGTGCAGAGATTCAGGCTGAGTTAAAAAAAAAATGAGTTTAAAATAAAGAAAAAAAGTCTGTAGAGGTGCAGAGCAGCAGCCACCGTGTCAATGTTTTCTTGACGAAGGCTGTAAAAAAGACACCTACTGGTATTCGTGGGTGCGCTTCTTTTGACACTATTTTTTTTCTTCTTAAGCCGCAGAAGTGTTTTAAAATTGTGTTAGGAAACATAGAGATAAGATAAGGCGAAGAGTCCTGATGGGAGGAGGTTCAAAAAGAAACGCGGCGGGGGAGGAGGGCTGGGGGTGGAGGATCTGTGGTTTTGCTTCTGTCCCAGTTAACAGGGGAAGGTGAGGCCTCTCCTTCCACAGCCGGTCGCTCTCACATTCCCCTCTCCTCCTTCGGTCCTGCGTGCAAACGCCAGATAGCCCAGTGGGCCCATAGGAAACGACCATCAGAGACTGAAGAAAGTCCGCGAGCTGGAACACGGGCGTCCCGTTTGGAAGTGTCCAAGGAGACCGCCAGAAGCGTGCCGGCCGGAGTCGGGAGAGTTTCCTTCTGGCCGAGAGGGGGAGCCCCGCGTTCCCTGCCGGGAGCGACCCGGAGTCCCCAGCCTCGAGCCCCAGCCGCCGCCAGCGCCAGTTTTGGCTGCAGCCGATTAGGAAGAGGAGGGAGGGGACCGGAGCCGGAGGGTCCCGAGTCCAGCACCGTATTGACGCAGAGAAACTTTCTCTCGGCCACGGAAACGGCGCCCCGGCGGTGCTGGAGCGGAGATCGCCCGGCTCCGGGGACGCGGCAGCTCTCCACGCCCCTGCCTCAAGCCTGACCCGACCGCATCAGTCAGTAAGGTACGGAGAGACGGCGATTCAGCCGGGGTCTTCCCTGGCTGCCGGCCCAGCCTCCCGCCAGGTAGCGTGCGCTCTCTGTTCAAGCGGCATCCTGAAGGCGCGGGCGGTGGTCAGCCCGGCCGCCGGTGCCGGGGATGGAGGGCGCGGGGCTGCGCGCCGCCGCCGGGCAGGTTGCAAAGATTAGGACAGTGAAGGCTTAGGGAGTCGTCCAGCACTAAAGGAGGCTAAGACCTGTTAACGACTGCTCTGGCAGTGCTTCAGGGATGACTGGGGAGCCTCACGAGGCCGGGGACGCAGCGGTCTCCCGACTCTGGGAGCCTCCCCTAGCCCTTTGTGGTAACTTTGGTCCGGGTGGCCGGGGCCGGTGGGCAGGAGCTGGAGGGGGACGAGGGGGGCGCCCGTGGATCAGTACGGCTGAGGGCGCGTGGACCAGACGGGACTGAGCAGGCAAGTCATCGCCGGGTCACAGCGAGGCGACCCAGGAGCGAAACTTCTTCCTCCCTTTTGTTGGCTCCAGGAGAGAGTGTGGGCATGGGGGCGGGGAGACGCGAAGCTCCGAGGCCGGGCCGAGGATTCTTTAAAGCCCAGGGCTGGGAGGGCCCAAACCCAGGGGCGGCGCCCGCACGGTTACCCTTTGGCTGGGTGGGTTAAGTAGCTCCTTCTGGCGAGCGCTACGTTGGGGGGGGGGGGGCGCGCGGCGCGGCGGGGTGACGAGGCCCCGGGCTCCCGGTCCCGCTGCCAAGCTCGCTCGGCCGGGTCCACCTCCCCGTGGGCTGACCACTACACCGATCAGAGCCCAGCGCGATCGGTTCTTTCCTGTGGCTCGTGGGGCCGCCGCGCTACTTCCCCGTGTGCGGGAGGGAATTCTGGGCAGGCTGGTTTTCTTGGAATGTGTTTACGATGTTGAATGGGACTTGAACAGGAAGCTGGACGCTGCAGCTGGAACTAGCGTGCCAGGGTAGAGTAAGGAAGACGTAGCTGGTGTTGGGCTTGGCGAGTTCACTTAGTACGTTGGGCAAACCTCGAGTAAGTGCAGGCTGGCGGTCCAGGTACCCCTTCCTGGGTCTTAGCGGTTTTTCCCAACAGAGCTCGCCTTACTTTCACTTGCAATCAGACATTCACGTGCACTATTTCAGTTTTCAAGTTTGGCAATGTAAAATGCAATCAATTAGAAAGGATTTAATAAATTTAGTTTGGGACCTGCTTTTTTAAAAAATGTTGCACCAAAGAGAATAAAAGTTTTTGGATAGTGTTTTAGTATGGCTCTGCTTGTTAACTTCTAGGACTAGTAGGAAACCATGATACTGATGAATTTGTGTCTGTGCTACCAAATGGGTGATTAGGTGCTGAAGGAGCGGTAATGAGACAGAGTGAATGTTAGGAGGTCGGAAACTCTGAGAGGAGTTGGAAATGTTTCAGATTTGCAAATCGCCCCTTTTCCCTGCCAGTCTTTCCCTCCTTCCCCCACATAAACAAGTAGCCTTGCTAGAAAACCCACCAATTGGGAGAGTGCAGTTGCTGGCGACTACTCGCCTTGCTGGAAACAGCAGACAGACTAAGGTACTGCCCCATTGCATACTTAAAAGGTCTCCTTGAGCTGTCCAGGAGTGTTTTCCAAGTTTTTACGACGGACAAGGAAAGACGAGAGGAACCTGGCCGACAGCCAAACTAGACTGAGCTCAGTAGCCAAGCATGAAAGAGACTGGGGAAGTTGCAGGGGATAATTGGAAAGGAGCTGTCAGTTATACTTGGGTTTAAACAAGGGGTTTCTTTTGCAATGGGAATTTTGAGGTGGCCAAGATCACTCTTCTTGGCAGAAAAATAAACTAGGCATGACGTGCAGTTGGATAGGACAGAAGAGAGTGAAAGAAGTTCTCCGGGAGGGAGGGCTGAGCCTTCCTTATCAGTTTGGAATGCTTATCAGCGGCAGTGGGATAGCTGGGGGCCTGATGCTGCCTGTGCTCATCACACTTTGTAGATGCCTACACTGTTGCTGTCTGTCTCCTCCTCAACTTGGACTAGGCTTGCTGTAACTTCAGTCCCCTGACCTTGACCTTCATTGTTTTTATAGCCAGTAAGAACTGAAGACTTAGACTTTGAGCAGATGGTTTTCCATCTAAATTGAGTAATTCAATTAGGTATTCTCAAATGGCATGGATTTGGGTCATGGAATTAAAGTGGAAAACGTGTCTTCCTTGTGTTTGTCAAAAGTGATCTCGATAAATAGATTTTGCTCTTTCACCTGAAGGAGTAGAAGTTGGGTGATCTCAGTATTTCACACATTTGCCCAGCACGCCCTGCTGCTTCCAGGAACTCAGAGCCTTATCTACAATTCAGATCCTTCTTTTATGTAAAATTGTTTCTGTGTCATGTGTCTGCTTTTTTTTAAGGGACTTTGGTCTGCTATGGTGGTTTTGGAGGTTGAATGGTAAAAAACACTAATATGATTTGTATTTCCTCTGGATTGATGAATTTGAGATTTGTGAATATCAGCCTGCTCTCTGAGATTGACTTTATGAATCACCATTGGCAGTGTTTTTCCTGACTATGATTTCAGTTTTCCACTTGCAAAGTAAAGAAACTTTCCTTTACATAATTACAAGATTACGTGGGCATTAAAGAGATGAAATTATGTTAATAGGTTTTTAGACATAAAGGTTATAGGGTTTCTGACTCAGTTGATTCAATTGACATTATAGGGGTAAAATAGAAATATTTATATCTAGAATACACATATACAGTGACATATCTATTTAATTAATAAAAATTACTGCTTTTGCATTGTAATCATAGTTTTAGTTTAGTCATAAATTTTAATTTTTGAGAATATTGGGTGATATTTTATTATGGTTAACACTGAGTCATTCTCTCAAATGGAAAAGAACAATCAGCAAATTCATTTATTTTTATTTCAGTTTATATTTATACTCAGGACCAGTTGTTTTTTGAGTCCAGCTCAATTTTGCCTTTATGAGATATTAGCAAATATATTTGTAGAATTTGGCTCCCCACTTGGAAATAACACTTGAGAGACTAAAATACATTTATGATGTACAAACAAACTTTCTTTTCCCAATGTCCACAACAGTTTCCTTAAGAGTGTAGAGGGCAGATTTAAGAGCCATTCATTAATTGATTCAACCAATATTTGTTGCATATTTTTTATGTCCCAGGAACCAACAGCCTTGGGTTCAAATCCCAGCAGTGAACTTCTCAGCATTGTGATTTTGTGCATGTTATTTTACTGAAACATTTTACTGACATATAATTTATTGCCTATATTGCCATCTATAATGGAAGAACTTGTTAATTGTTGATCCATGCTTGATAATTGTGAAATATTTAGTTTTTAGTTTGACATGTCAATTAGTAAAATAAGCTACCTATTTTTATAGCTCAGTGTACCATGCTGTACTCAGGGATGTTTAATTTAACTCTTTCTCAGGTGACTAAGTCCATGTATTAGAGAAAGAAAACAGAGTAAGTATAGGTAAATTGTATAAAGGATAAAATCTTTTGGTAGAATATAAGCATAATTTTTATTTTTAGATTTTATTTTATCATTGATAATCTATAAAAAGTAGGAGTATATGAGAAATAGTAGTTGAATTTATGGTCATATTAACACAATTGGCACTTTTTTTTTTTTTTTTTTTGTGAGGAAGATCAGCCCTGAGCTAACATCTGCCAATCCTCCTCTTTTTGCTGAGGAAGACTGGCTCTGGGCTAACATCCATGCTCATCTTCCTCCACTTTATATGGGACGCTGCCACAGCATGGCCTGACCAGCGGTGCGTTGGTGCGCACCCGCCCAGGATCCGAACAAGAGAACCCCAGCCACCCGCAGCGGAGCCCCCGCCCTTAACCACTTGCGCCACCGGCTGGCCCCTTGGCGCTTTTTTTTGAATAATCAAAGAACAAATGAATGTTCTAGGATGTATTAAGGTAATCTTAATGTAAAATATCCAATTTTGCTTTTGACTTTAAATGAAAAATCTTAAAATCTTAATCTCCATTGCTGAATAATAGATAATTTTTATTTACGTTTCACTCAGCAGAGTGCTTTGTTTGTGATTCATTCTGCAAAATTACAATTTGTTTTCTAAAATCTCTAAAGGATTAAAAAAAAGTTATTTTATTTGACTATAATAATGAATTCAAAAATAGTTCCAGGAGCCAACTGCATGGCTGCCTTGATCCCTGGTCCCTAAACGTATTAGAAGCTGATGGATGTAACAGTGTTTGCGTTTACACAGTTAGAAATCAGGAAACTTAAACTTGATCCTATGGGAGCTTAAATGTATTCAAATTGGAAGAGGAAAAACACTATAAACTTTGAAAATAGAAATCACTTTGCTTCCAAACAGTGGAGATACAAAATTGAAATCAGGCCATTATTCTTAAAGATAATGGCTAAAAGTCATTGTTCCAGAGTTAGGCTTAGAAAACAGTGCTTATATTGTTTTTAGGCTCTGTTATTTGCTAGTTTTGTGTTTGTTTCATACTAGAAAAATGTTTTCAGTGACTCTAATGTTGCTTATAATGCATGATTGTTTTTCATCAAAAGACAGTTAATTGACTCAAATATTGTGCAAGAGAGATAGTGCTAATTTTCTGTTTTCATTAAAATAGTACAGTTATGGTAAACTTGGAATTAGTCTCATCTTTCAATATTGTGTACTTAAGGATAGTTTTGGAAAGGCTGTTCCACTTTGCTCACATAATATGAATAAGTGAGTTAACTTATGTAACAATTGTGATTACCACTATATTTCATGCTACATTGCAAAGATTAATATGAATTTTTAAAAGAGTTTTGAATAACACTGTGTATATTTTCTGGGGTGCACCTAAGAGGGCATATCTAGATAGCAATAACTGCATTTAGTTCATATTTGTTTTTTCCTATTAACATTATATAGATACACATACCTGCATATTCTCTTTATCACATGTCTTCTGAAAAGGAGATTCAGAACATACCTTAGAAACTTCCATACCTTAGGTGACTCTCTCTCCCTTTCCTTTTTGTCTCTCTCTCTCTCTATGTTTATATGTATGTATAATTATGGCATATATATTCTTTGATGTTTCTCTGTTTGTGCTAGGTATATTTTTCATAGGGAAAATAACTTCAATTAATAGATATTTCTGAGCCAATTTTAACCGTTAATTTAAAATCTTTTCCAGATTACTGTTGTTAGAAATCCTTGGCTTTTTTTTTTTCCCCAAATTCTAAAAGAGTTTTTAGGCTTTTATTTATGCCTTTAAAGGTAGAGAAAAATAGTGGGAAAGAGCTGCTACCCATGTTCTTGGTTAATGGCTTTGATGATGACATGATCATGGAGGCCTCTTCTACTTTTCTTAAGTATAACACAGGCAAATGTGCAGTTAACTACTGCAGGAGGGTAAATTCACTGCTTGGAAGGCAGACAGTACTGGTAAGTTTATAAGGTACTGTGAAGGGAGAATTGTGTGTAAATGTAGTGTTTTCCTGGTATTGTATAGCTTTTTTCTTACTATCACCAGATGTTGTAGTTGACCTGTTTCCTGAAACTTCAACCACAAGTCCTCCAAGAATTTCAGGGAACTTAAATTTTGCCAGAGCTGCCAGCAAAGAGCAGATTGGATGATTTGGGCTCAGTCTTTAGTTCATTCTTGTCGAAATGAGGATAGTTATTTAAATGGCCAAAACACAGCTGGTTGAGTGTTTTGGTAGACGAAAACATAGAGCATAAATAACCTACTAATTGAATTGTTAAAGATTTGGTTGTATAACATTTTTAAATAGTTATGTACTATTTCATCAAATGATAACTAACCGCTCCTGCTCACTTAGTTTGTATTTAAATCAGGTAATATTGATTTTAGACAGCATTTTAGCTAAAAAAGCAAACAAAACTGTCTGTGCTGTGGTAACAAACCTTCAAATTTGGGGTAATTAAAAGTTGATATAGG